TTCTCCCTTGACGCGCCTCCTGTGCGAGTTTCCTCATAATATGCGGAAAAAACTATGTATTTCGAGGAAACCAAATTAGCACAATTACGTTCGCTCATGTTTCCTCCATCGATTAAAAAAAAATTGTTTAATTATCTCAATTAGTTTCCGAGATATTGCGAGTTATGTGTAAAAAAGTACGAAACAATTATTTTCACAAATTTTACATACTTTTCGATCTAGAAAAAATCGGTACCGTTAAAAAAAGAGAAAAGTCGGCAATTCCGTATGTCCAATGACGCATGTAATGATATCATAAAGGTTTAATCTGGTTTTACCTCAAAAAAAAAATTGAAACATTTTTCACCCTATTTCGCTGCACTAATATCAGAAATCCCATAGACGCAAACGCAAACGGAATCTCGACTGTGAGTTTATAAATTGGGCTTATAGCTTACTGTCCAACTTTTCTGATTTGATACTACAAAGAAATGTTATTATACTCAGGACTTACACAAGTCAAAAATGCAATAAAAAATAGTGAAATAGTGTAAAAAAAATCGCTACTTATTCATTATACATATAAAAATTCCAAAAATGTATCTATACAATTTAATCCTAACCTTTCTTAATTTGAAAAACAACAATTTAAAAAAGTCAGGAATGTGAGTTGGTGGCTGCCCACGCCAATGGTCACCTGACCTCACACCTGTTTTTGCTGGATTTTTCCTACCCTCGCTCCTCATACGGAAAGAGTCGAATTAAAAATGCTAAACATTACCTGAAAGCCTTTCTTGGAACAAAAATAACATCAAGCCCTTCTTTTTGAATATTAGTTTATCCAGAAACGCAATTTTGCGCACGCAAATGAGTGTGCAAAGCAATAACTTTGCGCACGCGAGTAGAAAATATTATTTTTTGTTATTTGAGATATTTTTAAGAAATAAAAGGTTGTTGCTCTGGGGGGGGGGGGGCCATTGCCCCCTTTGCCCCCCCCCCCTGTATACGCCACTGCTTGTTAAACCAGGGTTTTCCGGCACGGGATGTTTTATTGGAGTGTGCATTGTGGAATACTGGGAATGTAGAATTCCATACCTAAGGAAATTTTTTCGGTAGTCAGATTTAAAGCCAACATAGGACTACGGAAATTTCGAGAAAATGAGTTCTAGGCCTTCGCAATAATCTGCAGCAGGAGCTGAGAGTATAACGAAAGAACTTCCAGCGGTAATCAGTTTGATGTCTGATTTACCCAAACGTGCAAACAAACACATCAATCTACTGATCTAGTAAGGATCAGGGTTATAGTGGTAAGGAGCAAATCGAGTAAGTTAGCCTTTTCGAAAATGGAATCGGGAATACGGAAATACCAACTGGGTTAAGCCGTGTGAAATAGCATATGCTTCAGCAATCCTTTCAGCATGGGTTGTTTTGTTCGAGAACTTAAGCCACTCTGACTTCTGAGTTATGAACATTTAAATCTTCCAAGAATATAATCTCCCTCGGAGATCCGAATGGGAGGGTATTTTACCTCTGGAATTCTTTCCACGAGGGATGGCCATCGGCTATCATCATTTGTAATCTAAGTCAAGTCACTGAGGATAAAAAATGAAATAGAAAGATAAAAATAAACAAGAAAAAGGGATAGAGTGTCGAAAATCGGAAGTCACGCTCCAGGTCCAGACAATTCGAATTAAATTTACAGGACCAGGGCCCGTATTTTCGAAACAGGGGAGCAGCGTTCTCATGAGAATGAAGGATCTGTGTTATTCGCGCATATTGGTATTTTTATAATACTGACGAAAACTTCTCTTGAGAACGCTGTTCCTCGGTTTTCAGAATATACAGGCCCAGAATGGAAGCGGGGGTACTGCCTTGATCGAAGAAAAGCTCTTCTCGTAGTCCAAGTGATCAAAGATGATAGAAGAAGATGGTCATAGTGACCGCATAGGTAAGGTAGGAGAAGAAGAAGAAGCATTCTCAAGAATAGGTGAAGGAAAGAGTACTACAGCAAGAGGCCCAATTCTTGAAAAATATCGCATACGAAATTTGATACGATTTCAAATGCTTCCCATTTAATTTACATTGCTGTAAGTCAATTTCGAATCAAATCTCGTATGCGATATTTTTTCAAGAATCGGGCCAGCTCGGGTAACTCGGAGTCGCTAGGCTCGTTCACTATTGTGAACCCCTGCGTATTGCTGATTGATTTCTCCATTCACTGCTGTTTAGGATTAGGACCGTAGCATAGGCGCCGGAATTTCAAAATTACCATGGGGGCTCGGGCTCCAAAAATTAATATAAGTAGAATCAATTAGACAGACAGGTCTAGGCTACTAGACACATCGACTTAGATGAGACCAGTTGGCAGATACCCATTTCACTGCAGGATCGCTACGCTGGATCATTGATCGTCCCTGGCAGGTCCCTGCATATGATTAAAATTCGTGCATCTTCGGCAGAACGGCTATACTCGGCTTTAGCAGCACCATTGGCGTAGCCAAGTTTTTTTTTGCCTTAGGGCAAGGGAGAAGTTGCAGGAAGTGATCCTTGCAGCCCAGCCGCAAGCGCTGCAGAAGAGAAAGCGCCGCAGGCGCGAAATTTTTGGGTCCTTTCACGGTATTTTTGGGACTTCTAATGGCGGGGGTGCGGCCATTTAAACAAATTTTGATAAGAATTTATAGTAGAACGTTACTTATATTATAATATATGTATTTGAATATTCACGTAGGACTTGAATTGATTCTTCGTGTATTTCAATTTGGAATTATTAATAAAATTTAAAGGCCTTTGGGGGAAGGGGGCAAATGCCACTTTGTCCCCTTTCCTGGCCACGTCAGTCGCCAGTGGGCAGCACCGGTTCAATTTGCCTTAACCGGGTATAAGCTAATTCGTCTTATTACTCCCTATGTGTCTAGTAGGTTTTCCGGTCTGTATATAAATTGTCCATGTGACATGGGGGGTTTGTAGCTTTGGGGGTTGATGGAGAGAAACTCGCTTAGGTTATATAAAAATATATGCTATATATTTTCCCAAATATAACCTTACATGTATGCTAATCCTATAAGATATATGACCCTTCGTACACTGGGGTCCTTATAGGGGGCCACACGTCAATGCTGCTTGGGGGACTGTAGATAAGTTTATCGTCACCCTTATGCCTTGTCCAGAGGGGCGTTCCCAACGAGAGGTAATTGCACTGGACAACGATAAGGCTGAAGATACCCAGAGGGGCGTTCCCAACGAGAGGTACTTGCACTGGGGAGACTTAATTCCAGAGGGGCTTTTCCAACGAGAGGTACTTGTACTGGTTTAAGTCTGCCTTTGCTGCGGCTTGCAGCGCAATTTATATCAATTTATTGCTGAATTGCAATAAACATCCGACCGAATCGGCAATTAAATTAATAAGGTTGAATACCGGGTCCTCCTTTCCTAAGCAGCTAGTTGACAATAAACCAAGTAAAAAAAGCCAGTGTATTGGTACATTATGATATATTCATGTGATGTGAACATGTTATCACGGAAACGAACGGAAAGGAAATAATAATAGAAAGACTTATTGAAAATAGAGGTTTAAATACTACACAACAAAATATTCAAAATGTTTGTTGAAGTAGGTATAGCAAAAACAACAAAAAAATTAAACACACAAGTTTTATATAGAAATTAATAGTTAGGAACAGGAAATCAATATTTCTGTGCCTACCCATTACACCCACTATTATATTTACAATACCACAGACAATACCAAAATCACGATGGGGGCTCCGCCCCCATAGGCGATTCACTCTGGGGGCTCAAGCCCCCATTGCCCTCATGGTTCCGGCGCCTATGGACCGTAGTTCATACACACATGTCTGCCCTTTAGCTTACTGCGGAGAGAGTACCAGTGATTGGGCATCACTTTGGCAAGCTCGGACAGCTCTAGCATTAATTCTTCCAACTATGGAAAAGATCTCAACTGTTGGTGGTTTCTCTTTCATGGCGGTGCTTAGTAAGGATGCAATATCGTTATCATCATCTTGATTTGAGCGGAGTGTTATTCCATCACAGATAATTTGTCATAGTTTCTTATTTTTATCACTCTCTAACTAGAATTTCAAAAACCGAAAAATTACTTATCTAAATGAAAAAATCCAAATAAAAAATAATACTTAATACATGTGCGAAAGACTGCCGCGGAAGCGAAATTTATTTATTATGCTGGCTTGCGCGGGACAATGGAAGAAACAAATTTATTGTCCGTGGATAGTGATTAAAATGGATGATTTTTCTCCGCTAGCAACATATTCCTAATATGATCTGTCTCTGACAAGAACTTTTTGAGAGAAACTGAAAAATTTGCTCGAACCCGATAGGAATTTGCGATTGATTGAAAAATTATACCTACCTTAAACTGTTGTAGCTAAAAGTTGCAACCTGTGTGTGAAAAAATCTAAGGAAATACCTGTCAATTAGGACCAAATTTGTAATCGTTCCTTGAGGATTCCTTGGGAGTCATTAGTTTATAATGGACACTTTTTATTATTTAACAAGTTTGTCATTACTTTTATACGTCCAAGGATTTTTCTAGGTTCTAGAGAAACCTCAAGGAGGTACTATCAACTCAGCCCTTACAGCAGTACCTACAGAAACGCTGTTGGTGCTTTTCAATGCTGGATACTGGAGTGTTGAGCTATCACTTACAGACGGATTTTTTGTCTAATAAAAATAAGGCTATTCCCTAACAGGTAGAATCCTAAGATCTTATACCTAATCAATTGCTTTCAATCTATTGTTCATTTGTGAAAATGCTTTCAATAAAAACACTAATTCGGCCTGAAAATATTTATTCGACAATAAAAGAAAATAAAAACATTCCAAACATTTCGCACACAGAAAATTGGATTAATAGGTATTTTTGATATTTTTTGTTATCCTTGTCCCACACGCCCAAAATTCGAGTGTGTGCAAATTGTTCCGATATCTATACGACTTTGAAATACACGAGAATACACAGGGATTCAGTCGCGTTTTAAAATCCTCGGAAACATTTTATTAAAATATCAATTTTTCGCGCGTGTCGCGTCGCGTTCTCTCGTGAGAAAACTTCGACTTTATCGGTGGAAAATGTAATTTATCGTTTATAAACAACTAAAACGGTTTTTTCAATTTGTAATTACTAATAGCTTGCTCGTGTTAATGTGGTCAATTAATGTGCACAGTTTTCAATACCTAATTGGATTTTTTTTGTGGTTGGAATTATGGATTATTGTTCCTGATAAAAAGCTAATTAAATTTGTAAGTACCTACCTACCTATTCAAATTTGTCACATACTATCTAGAATAAAAATTTGGTATTGATTGACCAAAATATTAGTTATGTGTTTACAGTAATTAAGTATAGAATGTTTTGGATTATTTTTAAATATTAAAATCTTGATTCAAATATGGATGCAAGACGCAAGTACCGTACCTACTTCCTAGTCCTGCGAATTTGGTGTAGTAGTTCTAAATGATAATAACAAGGGTTCTGTTTTGTTGCACTTAACATATTTTTGAAGTTCAGGTTAAGTTACACTTTAAACTTTATTTAATGATGACGATTAATTTTTCTATTGGTAAGTGAATAAAGTATTATAGCATAGTTGGAATAAAAATTGAGGATTTCGTCCATCAAGTACGTATTCTTAGAAAGTCAACTTTAATCTTCTTAAAATCTTAAGGGCTTAATTTTGTCGTTAAATCTTTTCTGATGAACCTCTTCGGTAATTGATTTGAAAATGGCAGAGAACGCATATTGTCCCTTATGACGATTTATACCTTATTCTATTTTAACCAATTATAAAGTGTCCAACATAATGTTCGCTACATTCCTATGGAAAACTTTTTATTTGTAGCATGTGCGACTTTTCTTTACGTGCGATAGATTCTGCATGTCCGATAACCTAAGAGTACATTTTGACATCGGTAAGGTGAAAAAAACCCGAAAAGTGGGACAAGAGAGCCAAATATCGGAAAAACTTATTTGGAAAAAGTGTTTACAATGATATTTTAGGGCTGTCTAGGAAATTTGGATCATTTTTCCATCTAATCCCACTTTTCGCGTTTTCATAACAACATTTTCGAATTCGTCGCCATGACAGTGATCACGTCACCGTTATCAAAATGTATTTTTAGGTTATCGGACATTCAGGATCGATCGCACATAACAAAATTGCATAGGTATTCTACAAATGAAAAGTTTTTTCATATGTAGCAAACATTATGGTGGACACTGTACATATTCTAAAAAAAGGGTTTGTAATTTTCCCTTCATTTTTTAACAAATAAAAACTGACTGTAAAAAATCAATGACGTCAAAAACGTTCGTCGGTTTTTGAACCAGAAGTCATTCAATACAATACAAAATCTGGACGCTATTGCATTTATATGAATCAATCTACGACAAACCTTTTTTTCCAAGTTATGGATATTGTCGATGTCATAAGTACAAACCTTCATGAAATGAACCTTAGTTGTGTGTGTTTAAAAATAAATTGCAGAAATATGATTGTTATTATTTTTATGAACATTTCGAAAAAGATAAAAATATATTATAGTATTCGAGGTCGTTTAAACTCGGAAATCCATGCTGAGATGTCGTTATATTTTAAAAATTTTAATCGATTAGATAACATGTATTTTAATAATGTTTTTTCCTGAACTTGATCTGAATTATGATGGCACTGCGAGGATATGAGTATTTTTAAATTATATTATATATTTTATTTGGCAGATGAAGTGTTTCATTTTATTAATTTGTTAGATGTGTTTTCATAAATTATTGAATTAATTTGTCACATAAAATAATTTATCATTGGTTCTCTTCCTGCTCCTTTTTGAAAGTTGGTAAGTTTAGAAAACATGCGTTTCCTCTGCCCCACCTTTAGAATACTCTCTTCATTGGTGCCAATTACTTTACTTTTGGACAGAGTTGTCAGAATTTTGTTCCAATAAATTCACTACAACAATTTCATTTTTGTAAAAAGTGACGCAGAGGAAACGCATGTTTTCTGAATTTCTCAACTTTCGGGAGCGGTGTTTGCGACCGCAAAGCAGGGCGACAATTGACGGACATTATTATCGATCGTTAATTTGAAAATGCGCTATTATCATTACTTCATTAAGCTCATGAAAATTATTTTGCAAATAAAATAATAAAATACTCAAAAATTAAAAAATTAATTAAATAAATAGAATATCTCTTCCAAACCTGACTGGTATGGGATAGTCCCGATGATCGAAGCAGCATTGCCCCGCTGAATAGCCAAGGTCGTTTATCCCGGCTGCCAAATTTCCAAAAACTTAACTGGGCCAGTTATTTAGTGTCAGTAGTAATCTATAAATTTTGTTTTACAACAATTTCCCATTAGGAAAAACAACAAAAAAAGCCTTAACAAATATTGCCGTATTCAAGACAAAATCATATACGTTCCTGAACATCAGGGCTTCCATAAATTAATTTTTCTACGACTGCTATGTAAAACGTTAAAAAACGCACGCCAAAGTCAATCTGAAAGTAACGTTTTTCACACGCCGTGCGCAAATTTTGTAGTGTGCAATCTTTGCGCACGCTTACCTTAAAGGTGAAACTCCGTATATCTAAGGTTGTCGCCGCGTAACCAGAGATAACAACAATTGCCAACATTGTCTCTGACGTAACGTATTTGTAATGTCATATTGTTTGAAAAGTAATTCAACTTAAATATCAGATTTCCTTTAAGAGGGGCGTCAGATAAGAGCCAGCGCGCCATCTTTTGGGCTTTATGACATACAATAAATATTTTTTAATCACAGGTGTTCAAATTCTCTGTAATGATTGACTTATTTACAAGTAGATGGCGACATCTTCAATATCAATTCGTTCACACAGTAATTTACAGTGGACTAAATAATTTCATTCAGATGCAAATGAAATAATAGTATTTCACATTTTTAGCTAGGTAAAACAGCTTTTACTGGCGTTTGAAAGAAGTAACTACCCTTCCCGAACTCAGCGACATCTTTTAGAGAAGCGCTGAACACACGTTTGGTTTGAGTCTTTGCTAAAAATGTCAGCAATCACCTCGTTGTTTGGCAGATTTTGATTAATTTTGTGATACAAACATTATAATTTTCGAAAATTCTGTCATATTCATTTTTTCCAGCATTTCACTATCCGAAATTTTGGAAATGTATTGTTGATGTGCTACTCTAGGTATTCGTCCCTTTTTCATTTAAATCCATGACCAAAATTTGCATATTGTTGTCAACAAATTTGGTAATAATTTTACTATTTAGACTGCATATTTTGCAACCAAAAATGCTTCGACTCATAATCTAATCTATTATTGTTATGAACATAACTTCATTTCACTCAATAGTGGTCTAAATTTGGAATTGAATAGAAATTTGTAAAGGTCTGTAAATGACATTTTATTTAAACGCCCCTCTTAATTTTTTTCCTTAATCTTGGGGTAATGGAGCACACAATTGAATCCACCGATCCTTTCGAATTGACGCAGCAAGCCGCACATATATGGTTGAGCCTATTACCTGAAAAATCTTGAGAACGTTATGAAACTGCATATAACAAGTTTATGGTTTGGAGGGACAATAAAAATATTAATTCCTTTTCTGAAAATGCGGCGCTAGTCTATTTTGAAGAACTTTCGAAGAAATATAAGTCGTCCACTCTCTGGTCCGAATACTCAATGTTGAAAAGTACGCTGAGGATAAAACACAACGTTGATTTGGGTAATTATATGAAATTGGTTGCTTTCCTAAAGAGAAAATCAGAAAATTATGTTCCAAAGAAGTCCAACATTCTCACTGAAAAGGATTTTCATCGTTTCCTATCTACTGCTCCAGACGATAAATATTTGCTTGTTAAGGTACTTTACTCAGATAATAATATTAATAAATTAGAAACTAATATAGTATATCCTAACTTCTTAGGCTGTTGTGGCAATTGGATTAACAGGAGCTTGTAGGCGGGACGAGCTCTGCAGATTAACAACTGAGGATATCAGAGATTTTGATTCAGCAATGCTGGTGAAAATAAAACACACAAAACCAAAAGTACCCAGATCCTTTACCATTACAGGTACTTTTTATCAGTGGCGGACCTAAGATCTCTGGGGCCCAACGCAAAAAAAAATTTGGGGTCCTGTCATACTTTTTTAGGTATTTTTCTTGTGGTGTTGGGGTATGAGGCGAGTGTGCGAAAGTTATTTATATTTTTATGTATCGTAATGACTTCTAGTCTTTGTAGGTATGTTGGTATTTTGATTAAAAAGAGCTTATCCAAACTAACCCGTCCCGTCCGCCCTCTAAATAATCTTTGAAAAAATTTAAAAAAAATCGATGCCTTTAGTACTCGGTTGTGTGGGGGCCCCTCAGCTCCGAGGGCCCGACGCAGAGTGCGTCGTTTGCTTCATGTTAGATCCGCCACTGCTTTTTATGAAATTTGCAAGAAATATCTTGGTCTTCGTCCCCAAAATATAACAGAAAAAAGGTTTTTTCTCAATTATTGCAATGGTAAATGCACAAAACCGTTTGTTGGTATCAACAAAATAGGAAATATGGCATGAAAAATCGCCGAATTTCTGAATCTTCCGAATCCAGGAAAATACACCGGGCACTGCTTTCGGAAATCATCAGCCACAATATTAGTTAATGCAGGGGGTGACTTGCTCACTTTAAAGCGCCATGGGGGCTGGCATTCCAGTGCCGTTGCCGAGGGATATATTGGCGAGTCCATTGAAAACAAAATACAAGTATCCAATAAAATAATGGAGTCTGTGGAGCCAACGTCGTCCAACATTCCCTCAAAAATCCCTTTGCAGTGCAGCCTTTGCCAAAGAATGACCCAGCGACCCAATCATATTCGTCCGAATCTTCTCTAAATATTAGAAAATTATGAAAATAAAAGGGATTCCTATAGTTAATTTTAAAAACTGTTCCAAAGTTACCATTAATTATAACTTTAATAAGTAATTCAATTTTATTGTTATTTCAAAGATGTAGAAAATAGAAAACTTGTTCACCTGTTATTGTGAATAAATAATATTGTTGGAAATTTAAATAAATTTACAAAAAATGTTTGTTATTTTGTGATATGCAGTCGTAGAAAAAGTATAGTGTGCGAGACGTTTGAAATCGGCTCTTTGCACACTTGTGTGACTTATTGCACTCGCCTACGGCTCGTGGCAATAAACCGTCACACCCGTGTGCAAAGAGCCTTCTTCAAAACTTATTACACAATATACTATTTTGCT